CCCCAAAACCCCAAAACCCCATCGTTAAGATATTCTGTCTAAACTGAGAATATAATAAAGTTAATAGACATATACATATTTAGAAAATATTCAAATGGCTGACAATTAATAAAATAATATAGAGGTTTTAAGTGAGACAAAGAAAGAGGAAACTTCAAATTAGATAGAAGATCAGATAAAATCCTCCCAGTCTCCCAGAAGTATGCACAGCTTCCTCAGCAATCAATAATTTTAACAACAGACTAATCAGAAACTATCAGGCACTAGTCTAGTGAGTGTAGGTGCAGGAGGATACCATCAACCTAATACCCTCACATTACCTAACGGGATAGTCCCTCCTTCAGCCAGTTTTAGAGAAGCATATGCTGCTCAGTATGCTCAAGCCATATACCCACCACCAAATGTGGTTAAAAGTAAGTCTTTATTTGAATTGATTATAAAATATCTTTAGACATTGCTCAATTCCCAGGATTGTAATATCCCGCAAATTAATATGCTGCTTAGCTCTACCCACCACCTCATCTGTAAGAAAGGTTATATCCTCCATCCTAGGCTTAGCTATAGTAATCATATTAATCTCAGATGTTTAGCGCAGCCGTATAAAATCCCCTGACAAAGCAGACTAGTGAGGGACTAGGTTCATCAGTTGTTGACACTCCTAAAGCCTAAACATTACCAATGGATGCTCCAAGACAATATGCTACACCTCAGAACATATATCCTCCCAATTTCACTGGTAGACCTTAAGGATATGCAATGAACTCTTAGCATATTGTTCCTAATTCTGAAATATGCGGAGTTTGCGAGAAACCAGGTGGTAGCATAAGATGCATATCAGCATGCAAAAAATATTTTCATAAAGAATGTACTGAGAAAATGGCAGTAAAAACGATACATCAATCTGACAATACACAATCACCTCACTAAAAATCAAATTCATCAACAAATAACAACAGTGCTAATTACTATATTCATTGTGAAAATTGTCTGACCAGAATACAGAAGTGCCAACATTGTTAGCAATAAGGTTAACTAGGCCTATCAATGAACAAATGTGGAGTAAGTTCATGCAATCAATTTTTCCACAAAAAATGTTAAGAATAGGAAAAATAAAATCTTCCAGAGAGTATCAAATCTCAATTAAAGTCTCCAATTTTCATCTGTGGATCCCATCATTGCCATAATTGTGCAGAGCCATTTAGGACAGATGATTTAATAATTAGATGCTTAAAATGTGTTACAGCTTATCATGAAAATTGCAAAGAAGGAACTCGAGTTCACTTTATTACTCAGAAGCAATTTATTTGTGACACTCACAACTTAACCGAGATCAATACAAAATCTATTAACTATTAAAATACCAATGGGGAGACTATCGGCAGAGAAAGATTAGGTTTACCTCCAATTTCATAAATTAAACAGCAATCTTTATAATAGATAGGGGAAGAATCAAAAGAAGCACCAGATCTATAAAAATCAAATGAGCAGCAATAGAAAGACAATGTAGCCTCCTAAGATTATTAGAAAATGAGATAAGGTTTAGGATAAATTTTGGAATCAGGAGAGCTTCTTTAAGTCTAGAGACAAGGTGAATAGGCCAATCTTAACACTTCAATCTTTAAAAATACTTTATAAGGCCCACCACAAGGACCTCCTCTTAGTACATAAACGGCAGCTTAATGGAAGAGACTTGACCCTAGTGAGACCATGGTGCTAAATCAAAACACCCTTTAAAAAGTTAATGAAATAATTTAAAGAGAAAAGAATAAGAGACTGTAAAAAGATAAATAATAGCTAATTACTAAAACATCTTCTTCTTCAGATTCGTAACTTGGTAAATGATCACATCCTTAGAGCTAATAAATGATTGAAAGAGACAGTTTAGAAGAATAACCAGATATCACTAAAACTCAGTAGGAGCAGGAATAATAAGTTATTGAAAAAGAGAGTTAGGCAAAAGGTGAATAAGAGGAAGATGAGCAGAAAAAATTAGCAAGAATTATTAAAAAATACTAGAAAATAGACTCAATAATTAAGAGGCAGAAGGTATTGCAGGATAAAAAATACTAGCAATTTATCAAATACTCAAAAGGGGAGCATGACTAGAATTAGTTAGTGCAAATGTTCGAATGAATTAAATTAAAACCTTTATTTTTCAATTTCAGATTATATAGTATTTATTGCAAGTTAGCCTATGGGGTTTTGGGGTTTTGGGGTTTTGGGG